GAAGGAAGGAAGGAAGGAAAAGAGGGAAGGAGAGAGGAAGAAAGAAATTTCCAAATTTGCTCAGACAATGACTGTGAAGGATCCATTGGAAATTGTATCCACAATCCTAATTGTAACCCGGATTAATGATTGAGACATTTGTGTGCCTACAAGCTAGAGTTGGTGCAATGCTTCTGCTGTTTTGGGTATTGTCCACTTGTTTGGGTTGTGCCAAATATTGTTAAGATTGAATGGGGATAGGATGATGTAAAAGGAAAGCACGAGGCCTCCCTGTAACAATTGTTCCCTTGGTCTGTATTGTAATAAACATATATTTATGACATTTTTCACTTGATCTTCAGCTTCTTGAGAGGTAATAGCAAGTCCTGCAGACTTTTGCCAGCCAACCTTAAACCACACAACACAAAAGAGATTGGGAGAGACAAACAGGCATGTGAAAGGGGGAAGCAAATTCGAAACATCTATTGAGAGATGCTATGAGTCATCTTGGACTGGGTTGCTGGGACCTGAAGTCATCTTTTGGGGGCACAGGTGACCCATAACTGCCTTAAAAGTTCCAGATCCCATAATATCCTCCTTTTCTCCCCAGGAGTTTGTGATGTCCTAGATTGTACCTTTACCAATCCTATGAAAGAAGTTGGACTAAGACTACCTGATTGGTCCGAGGTCACCTAGTGTTCTGACCTAGACCTTCCCCAAGATCACGAAGCTGACTCCTCGTCCCGATAAAACCCCTTTTTATTTAGTTTAAAGTGAATCCTCTCCAGCAAAGTCCCAGCTAACAGTCTTTCATGAGATTTCACAACTACAGACCTTTATCAGGCTTGAAGAGCTGCCAGGCCGATATCTTCCAAATGCCATGCTGTGGCAGCAGTGATTTGGCAAGAAGTCAGGAACAGATCCTCACCCTAATGAATTGAACTAATTGTCTCCTGCAAACACCACTTCCCTTTTCCTCCTCTTTATGGGAGGGGCCATTCACCATCCACCTGTGCCTTTACTCCCGAGTCGACCCTTGTTCCTTAGCTGTTCCCTTCTTCTGGCAGCTCTGCGCATGTGCACACTGGGAACAGGCTCCAGCTGCTCTTCTGCCCCACTGACCTCCGACTCTGAAGGCAGCTGATAACTGTCAGATGGTCCTGGTCCCATCTCTGCCTCTGATGCAGAGCCCTCGTCAGAGCCTTCCCCAGACTCCAGGACTGGTCCATGTTCCTCCCCAACGTGCTCATTGTCTGAGTCTGCCTGGCCGCTGTCAGGTCACAACACCTAGGAAGCTTCTTCACTTGAGTGGGGTCTTGAATTTATGTCTCTCCTAGTACAATACTTTCACAGTACAAGTATCCAGGCACTTGGGCCAAGCATCTATATCTAAAGGATCATTTGTCCCTGGCTCTAACCATGTAGGTAGTCCTCGACTTACAACAGTTCATTTAGTGACCCTTTGAAGCTACAACACAACTGAAAAAAGTCACTTATGACCGTTTTTCACACTTATGACCAATGCAGCATCCCTGCGGTCATGTGATCAACATTCAACTGACTCATGTTTATTGTTGCAGGATCCTGGAATCATGTAATCCCCTTTGTAACTTTCAGACAAGCAAAGTCGACGGAGAAAGCCAGATTCACTTAACAACCAGGTTACTAACTTATCAACTGCAGTGATTCAGTTAACAACCATGGCAAGAAAGATCATAAAATGGGGGGGGGGGGAATCCGCTTAATAAATGTCTCACTTAGCGACAGAAATTTTGAGCTCAATTGTGGCCGTAAGTTGAGTCTACCTATATATAGTCCAATACCTCAACTACCACAGAAACTGAGGTGAATCAAGTCGATGAAAGCACCAGATTCAGGAAGGCTTGCCTTCAATGGAGAAGAAAGAAATACCCCTGAAAGATAAAATATTTCAGCAGCTTTTTGACCACCAAAAACAAGAATTATGAATCGCGATTCAAAGAAATCAACCCTATATATATATATATATATATTTTAGCAAAAGTAAGCGGTAGTGTTGATTATTAAAAAAGAAAAAAAAAAGCAGCTACCTCAAAATAAATTTCAATTAAATAATATCTTAAGTCAGCGTGAACAAAGCAGAGCAGATATTGCACAATGACTGCATTTTTAAATTGTTGGTAGCATTGGCGCAGGTAAAAGAGAAATCATAGGAAAAGATCAAAGAGATAGGGTGGGGGAGGATTTATGTCACTTTGACGTGATATGAAATGTAGATGAATATGTAAAAAATACAGGCCATGGTGTGCTTCTGGTGCCAGCCTGGATTAAGGAAGAAGATTGCCTTCTGATAAAATAAACAACATAAATTTCAAGATATTAGGAAAGGTCATCAAGCACTGCGTGAAGCCAGAGACGGCCAGATTTGAAAGAAAATTCCATTTTCTTAGGTTGCAATTCTTTTCCATAGCTAACATGCGCTGACGTGAGCAGGGAAGTTGCCTTGGTTTATGTTGCTTCCAAGAAATGCTCCCGTTCAGCTCCAAATTCACCATCTTTTCTTTCTATCCAGCTTCCAGTTCTGTTTTCGGAACGCCTTCCACGCCTTTCTTTGGAATCATAAATTCAGAAATCGGATTCTGTTTTACCATCCAAACTTTTGAAGTTCCAGTTAAAGAGCCTATAAGAGCTCTAGGAAATATTTCACTAACTCTATAACACAAAGTTCTAGTTTTTTGTTTGTTTGTTTTTAAATTTCCCCTGATTTTAACATAGCTTTTTGGTTTTTTAGTTTGCCCTGTCGTAAGTCTAAATAAATAGTGCCAGTGGCACGATTACGAGCAGGAAAGTGACATGTGGGCAACTGGGACCCAACAGGGGTTGAAGCAATAGCCCTGACAAATATTGTCACTCGTTGACTGATTCAAACAAGCAAACCTTCTAGTTAACTGGAAATTAGGCTTCCAAAAATAAACTGGATGAGCCTAAAGACATACAGGCTGCAGAAGGAGACAAAGGGGACCTGTGATGGCCCACCATTTGGTCTAATGAATGGCTCTGTTTAAACACACACACACACACACACACACACACACACACACACACAGGAGGTGCAATGGAACAAAAGAGACGCGGTGAGCAGTGGTGCGATTCAATCGGTGTAACAACCGGTTCGATGAGTAGGCGCTTTGCATGTGCTCTACATTTCCAAAAGCCCATTTTCAACTCAATGACTTGCCTTCTGCTGTATTATTCCCCGGTGAATAAAACAGCTGAGGCATGGCAAACCACCCTGCTGTGAGAATCAGCTGTGCTAAAAAGCCAGGAAATATAGCACAGGAAAGAGCGCGGGTGGGTGGGCGGGGCCAAATGCTCACCAGAATGGATGTTTTCAAGTGGGAGATTTTTCCTCATCCGCCCTACAGCCCTGATCTTGCACCAAGCGAAAGCATTCAGGACTTCTCGAGTGCCGTAGTTCGGCCATTTTTAAACTTAATGCACCATTGGCGCACTCCACCTTCAGTGATGATGTTGTCCCCGTACACTTCACACAGTTGCCGAAAAATTTCAATTGGTTTATGGTTTTTTGCCAACAAAAACCTTATCACTGATCGCACCTCACAACTCGCGGGATTTTCAATTGCAGCACACATTTCAAACGTTTGCTGTGAAATAACGGGCAACGATAGGAACCTCCCACTAAGCACGACTAGATGCAGACTGAACGGCGGATGCACAGACCAAAGATGGCCACGCTAGCTCCGCCCCTTCTTGCTACAGACGAAAATGTAATCTATTTTATGGATAGCCCTCGTACATTTTGTTAGATTGCTCTGCTTGTAGCATCTCAGAAGATCCTACAGCATGGAAACGGTTTTTCAAGGGTATCCTTGGGGAAACCTTTTCCTTTTGAGAAACCTGCACCTTAAATTAAGAGACAACTTAGCTTTTAAGCCAG